CGCCTTCCTCAGCCTCCCAAAATGCTGGGATTACAGGCATGAGCCACTCTTAAAGTTTCAACTTAAATATCACTTTCCCTTCAGGGAAGCTTCCCCGCTACCCCGAGGTTAGAGGTAGGTTAGAGGCTTATTTTCTGTAGGAAGCACTTTTCCTTCTGTATTGTAATTGCATGTTTATTTGCCCATGTCTCCTGTTGGACTGTGATTTCCATGATGATAGGGACAGTGTTTGCTTTGCTTAGTGTTGAATCCCTAATGTCTAGTCCTGTACCTGCTCCATGTAGTAGGATCTTAGTAAATATTTGTTCTCTAAATGAATGTAATTGTGGAATTGAAATTCAGGTCTGTTCAATTCCAGCCCTCCACTATCCTATGTGAGCAATGCAAGGTCAAGTGAGATAGGTTCTGTGAGAGAAAGGCCAGGAGTTTGCTGTGGAATTACAAGGAAAGAACATACATACCATATCGGGAGGTTGAAGGAGGCAGCTCGTGAGCTTGATCTGAAAGGTGAGCAGAATTTTAAGAACTGACAAAGCAGGCATGAGTGAGCATGACTTATTTGAAGAGTGGCTAGGTCAGGGTTGTTGGGGTGTGGTAGCAGATAAGGGAAATAAGAGAGGGCATGATAATGGGAAGATGAAATCTAATTTGGGACTGGATTATAAAAGGCCTTTAATTTTATGCTTAGTATCTTGGATTTTATTTTGTAGGCAGTGGGGATTCTATCACTTTTTAAGAAAAACCTTTTTATTATAAAACACAGATATTGAAAACCACATGTATAGCTTAATGAACTCTTATGGGCTTTACTCCTGTGCAACCCGGCCCGCTGGAGAAATAGTTCTTTCCAGCCACCCCAGAAGTCCATCTGTGTGTTTTGTCCTAATTACAACTCCCTTCCACAAAAGTAAACACTATCCTGACTTTGATAATGTTTCTTCATAGTTTATCGACCACATGTGCAGCTCCTAGATACCCTAGTTTTGCTCATTAAAAAAAAAATTTGATACGTCTTTTGTGTCTGTTAAATTACTCAAAAGAAATTTCCTAAAACATAGCTGTTGAAAAACCAGACTGTTCATATGTGGAGATGCTCCCAGTTTGGCTTTTGCTGATTCCATATGCTATTTATTTGTGCTCTATTTTATAAAGAGATGCTTCTCATCTGTGATTTGGTTACCCAGTAGTACAGTTCATCTAGGGAAGGCAGGATACAATTTTGATTCTTTCCTTTTGTCAGATAATGATTTAGTTTCCTGCCACCTCCAAAGAGGATCAGTTAGGTTTTTTTATTTTTAAAGAATCATTATGGGCTCATGTTTTTAAACACAGTTGATGTGTTTCCATCTCTTGTAATCGTTATGCTTATTGAAGCTCAAATTATCCCATCTTTGGCCAATAGGAACCTCTTCAGGTTGGTTCCTGAACCCTTTTTTGATATAATCCCAGTAGTCTTCTGTTTCTTGCTCTCTAGTTTGATAAGATGTTCCAAGTTCATCTTGTACATTTTTTGCCTTATATTTCTTGCCTCCGACCTTTAATCAGAAAATTCTCTAAGAAGTCTTACATTCTGGCTGTGTGTAATGGCTCATGCCTGTAATCCCAGCACTTTGGCACTTTTGGAGTCCGAGGTAAGTGGATCACTTGAGGCCTGGCAAACATGGAGAAACCCCGTCTCTACTAAAAATAGAAAAATTAGCTGGGCAGGGTGGCACAAGCCTGTAATCCCAGCTACTCAGGAGGCTGAGGCAGAAGAATCGCTTGAACCTGCGAGGCGGAGGTTGTAGTAAGCTGAGGTTGTGCTCCAGCAGCCTGGGCGACTGAGTGAGTGAGACTCCACTTAAAAAAAAAAACAAAACAAAAAAAAACGAAAAGAAGCCTTACATTCTTTTACTGAGAAATGACACTGAAGTTAGAAATGTTCATTACTGATGGGTTGGCCTAGGAATTACATGTGTGTAGATATATATTTAAAGATAAAATATCTTATAAATTCATATTGATAACTTCCAGTTAAAATTGAGGACTCCAGGGATTTTACTAAACCTCTTCTATATTACAAATATATTTCTTTCCTTCCAAATTGAGTATTCTGGTTCTCAAGGGCACAGGGGATCATAGAATTAGAATATCCGATGGTTACTTATTACCTGTATCTGTTGGTAAATATATAGATATCTCAGAATTTCAGTATTACTGCCACTACCACCAGTGTGATGACTTGAAACAAAAAATATTTTTGCTTTTTGCATGTGCTCTTTCCATTCTTCCCCCATTAAAAAAAAATGGTACTAAATATTGTAGGAGTGTACAGCTGTTACATATTATAACCTCCTTTTAAACCACATATAGTTTTTGCAAGAAACTGTATATTCAGTGTTCAGCACTAGTCCTTATACTTGTAGTCCCTAGTCATTTTTGTTGTTGAAGCTCATTCTGTAGTTAAGATTCTTCAGGAAGTGTTCATGTGAACGTTATTCCTGGAGTTCTTATCATAACTTATTTACGTACTTACAAAACTTACAATTTTCTAAAACCGTATTGTGCTTATTGTTTGTATCTTTATGTTTGAAATTTAGTTTTGCTGGAT